CCACTGAGCTAAATCCCCAGGCCTTATTCTCTTTAATAGAGGAGAAAACTGTAGTTCAGCAGGATTTGAAGATCTGCCCATGGGCTGGGTGTGCTCTTGGTGTGTAGAGTGCTTGCCTAGCATACATGAGGCCCTGGGTTCAATCCCTGGCCCTGGGAGAAAAAAACAGATCTGTTCAGTCTTCCAGCTCAAAGAAGTCTGGGACAGAGGCCTTGACCCTCCTCTCCGGTGGAGGGAGGGTGGAGGGATGGGGTCAGATCACCATTTCAGTTCCTTCCAGGTGGTAACAGTGGGCAGGTTAGGTGACCTCCATGTCAGTTTTACCTACCTCTCAGGCTGTGTGTAGACAGACGTCATGTGAAAAACACTGCATGGTGCCTGGTACACCGCAGCCTCATAATCAATGTTAATTCCATCCCCTAGTCCCCCTCCTTTCTCTCCTCCCCAGTACCTTGTCCCTCACTGGTGGCTGGGAGTAAGGAGCCTCACTCTGCATCCAGGCCAACCTGGCACACTATATATTGTCTCCAGGGCACCATTCATGTGTGGACACAAGAGTCAGAGGAGTTAGTAAGGAGACATAGTGACCAGCTTTCTCAATTTTTTTTTTAGACTGGGGATTAAACCCAGGCCCTTCACATTGAACTGTATGCCCCGTCTCCCACTCCCTTTTATTTGTTTGAGACTAGCTCTTGCTAAGTTGCTAAGGTGCCCAGACTGCTCAAAGTTTCGATTCTCTTGCTTCAGCCTCCCAGAGCACTGGGATTATAGGTGTGCACCCCCACGCCTGGCTATGACCAGCTCCTTCTAAAACCTCCCCTCCAGAGAGTCTTTGAGAATTGGTCTGAGGCAAGTTGACAGTCACTTTTTTCAATTCAGGACTGTTTGAGAAGAAGGCTTTATCCCCATGTCCAGAGACTACATCCTTCCCCCACTGCAGGAGAGTAGGGCCCAGAAGCAGGGATCCTAGCACTGTCAGGAACCCTCTGAAGGCCTGTGAAGCCAGGTCAAGCCTTCAGCAGGGAACTTATCCTGAATCCTCACAATTGTTTACAACTTTCATATTCACTGGCTTGTCAATATTAACTGCCCCCCAGACACAGACTTCATCATTTGCTTTATCCCCATTTAAAGATGAGTACATAGAAGTTGACGGGTTAGGTGACTGAAGTGATGAGTGCTTAGTGGGCCCCAAGCCTCAGGATGCCAAATGCCATGTTCTCTCCTCCACCCACACTGCCCCATGACTTCCAGAGGCTTGGTGACTTGCCTGGGCTTGGGAGAAGTAGGGGTTTGAACCCAGGCAAGTTGTTTCTGCTCCATCACCTTGCATGGGGCAGAGAAACTGCTGTAGGAACCAAGTTTGGCCGTGGAGAGAGAAATGTAGGTGGGGAGGAGGGGCGAGCAGGAGCCCTGTGGGTGGCTGTGGAGGACAGGGTCGATATGAAGATGGAAGGCCTGGGACACCAGGCTCCCCAGTTGGTGGGGCTGGGACCAGCTCCCTCACTCTGTCAGGCCCGGGGCTGTGGCTGCCAATGCTCCTTCATCAGGATCCCCGGAGAGCCTGAAATCAAATATTCCTTCTCCCCTGCTCAGACAGTCTTATTGCCATTGACAGCAAATGTATTGCTCTAATCTTTTCTCATTTTGCCAGGATGGGCTCCGTTCTGACCTCCCTGCTAGCCTTGAAGGCTTCACAGGGGTGGGAGAGAGGTACCAGGAGCAGGAGGAGGAGGTGGGAGGGAGGGACAGGGGTTGGGCTGTCAATGGGGCGGGGCGGCTGCAATGATCCTAGACTTGCTGGAAGTTCCCCAGAATGTGGGGGATCTCCAGGAAAAGCCAGCCCCTCTACAGCCCCCATCTGCTTCCACACCAAGCATCTTGGAAGCAGATGGGAAGGGCTTGGTGGGCAGTGAGGAAACAGGCTCTGCCGAGGGGATAGGCCTGGTGTATGTGTGTGTGTGTGTGTGTGTGTGTGTTTGTGTGTGTGTGTGTGTGTGGCCTGCCCGCCTATCCCACTGTCCTCTGCTGCCCAGAGAAGCCTTGTCGATGTGCATCTTGCTGCTCCTTTGGCTGCCTCTCCTTCTGGTCTTCTCTGGTTAACAGCACTCACTTGGCAAGCCCCAGAGAGGCATGGTAGAAGGTCAGACTTGTAGGAGGGTGAGAGGAACAGGTTTGGGAGTATCCAGCCCGGGGCACAAGCAAGGAAGGGGCAGACGGAAGGGCAGCGCAGTGATTGTGAGAAGGAATTTGCAGCTCAGAGGGGTGCATGAGAGAGGCCAAGCAGATGAGTGGGGCTTGACCAAGGAGGGGCAGGTGCCAGCCCTAGAATGGAGGCAGGCAGGCAGAGTCCAAGCTCTGGCTGGAGGAGAGATGGAGGGGCGGCACTAGAGGTCCTGGTCCTTCTTCATTTGTTCTACTAAAACCACCCCTGAGCCCGTGTGTGTGTGTGTGTGTGTGTGTGTGTGTGTGTGTGTGTGTGTCTCAAGGTAGGGTAGAGTTCCTGTGTCACATCATCACGTGCATCTATCTTTTGGGTACACCTTCAAGTTGAGCTAGAAAGTTCTATAGATCCCAACAGTTTATCAGCAGGAGAGGTCCTTGGCATCTGGGGTGTGTGTGTGTGTGTGTGTGTGTGTGTGTGTGTGTCCAACCGCCAACTTCTCTGAGGCTCTCTGGCTCCTCCCAGAACTCTTGATGAAAATGGCTGAGCTGGATCGGGGTTCAGCAGGGTGAGGGAAGGGAGGAGGAGGAGGTGCTGGCCACTTAGGTCCCCCCCTCTAGCCAGGAGCTGTTGTTGCCAGTCAGCTTTGGTCCTGAGTGTTATCAAACGTCTTCTCGTAATTGTTCCCTTTTTAGACAAACCTCCCTGCCAGGCACGACCTTCTTCCCTTCTCTGATTTGTCCCCACCTCCACCATCAGAAGGTTTCTCTAACTCCATGGGTCTCCACGCATTCTCAGGGCTCCCAAAGGCTGAGGGAAGGCTATGGTCCTAGCAGCCTTGCTGTCTTGTTATTTTCTTCTCCCCTCCCCCAGTACTGGGCCTTGAGCCTAGGGGAGCTCTACCATCACTGAGCTACACTCCCAACCATTTTTATTTTAAAATTTTGAGACAAAGTCTCACTAATTTGCTCAGGCTTGCCTTGAATTTGGGATCTCCCTGTCTCAGCCTCCCAAGTAGCTGGGATTACAGGTGTGTGAGATGGCACCAGGCTCTTCTCTCAGTTCCTTCTTGTCTGTTGATAGCTGAAGTGACATTTGAGAAACTCTACATTGCTAAGACAAAGAAAGAAAGGGAAATAAAAAATAAGACTTCTGGGACACAGTGTGCTTGGCCCTGTGCTAAGAGTTTTGTAGGCACTTTTATTTAATCCTTCCAATAGTCCTTTACCATTTCCTATTGCTATCATTGTTGTTGTTGTTATTATTATTATTATTATTATTGGTACTGAGGATCAAACTTGGGACCTTGTGAGGCAGGCGGTGAAACCACTGAGCTAAATCCCCAGACCCATATCATTGTTATTTAATAGGCAAACGGGGGCTGGGGATTTAGCTCAGAGGTTCTGCCGCCTGCCTTGCAAGAGAAAGGTCCCGAGTTTGATCCCCGGGACCAAAACAAAAGAAAAAAATGTCTGAGATAGCCTTTCTTTAGGGCCAGGGATTTAGCTCAGTGGTTCCGCCACCCGCCTCACAAGCCCAAGGTCCCTGGTACCAAAAAAAAAAAAGGCAGACGGAGGCACAGAGAAGACCCCTTGCACGGGTCCTGAGTGGTGGAAACAGGCCTTGAACTGGGCTGCTGTAACTTCAGAGCCCATGGATTTAACCTCTATGTTTATTGTTCTCTGAAAAGAACTAGCAGTGAAACTTTCGATGGCTCACTCATGCCTCAGGACACACAGTTAATTTATTTGGGCCGGTATCAAGGTCTCCCACACTGCCCTCTCAAAATCGTCTCCGGCTTACTTCCTAAACTGCAGACAAGGTCACTGCACCCCAGCCACACTGGACTGGCTCCCCCACTCCAGTGACACTGTGGCCTGCTTCACTTCCCAATTCCTTCCCACCGGGGTTGGGGTTTCCTTCCAAAGGGCTCTGCTTTCCGGTGCTCTCCGGACCTCAGGCGGCGGTGGGCTCTCCCCGACCCCGAGAGCACAGCCCGTCCTCCCTCTGCTTGTCTGTGCAGTGACCTTGGCCCTGGGGGTTAGCGCAGCCTCTGGACGCAGAAGTGCTCGAAATCGGCTCGGTTTACTTGGCAGAGGGAAGAGTAATCCCAGAAGGGAGGCAGGAGTGAGACCTCCGGAGACGAAAAACGAAAAGGAACGAAGGGAGAAGCCCAGCCCGGGAAGGGGGCGACGACAAACCCTGGGCAGTGGCCCGCGGCGGCGGCCAGGGGCCGAGTCTCCCCGGGGCCCCAGGGCGCCCCTCCCCATTGTCCAGGCACCGACGGTGACCGTTTTTCTGACTCGACATCTGGCAGGCGGCCTCCCCGCCTTCAGCACGAAACCCACTGGCGCCCCGCGCGCGCGAGGCCGAGGGGCTGGAGCGGCGGCGCCCGCTGAGAGCCCTGTAACCCCGCGGTCCCCAGCGGCGCGTTCCAGCACGCAGAAGCCCTTTCCCAGCCGTTACCTCCCTGGCACTGCGCAACGGCCCCCGCCCCGGCCCAGGGAGTCTCTCCAGAAGCGGGAGACTAAATAACCAGGACAAAGGAGCCCGCCTCTAGTAAGTGACAGAGCCGGGAATCGAACTCAAAGCTTTCTGGCACCAGATTGTTTGCTTTTCCCGGTACGGGTGGAGCCTCTGAATGTCTCCCTCCCCAGACTACTATGGTTTGGGAAGAAAAGGAGTTAACCGCCCCCTGCCCCACCACACACACACACACACACACACACACACACACACACGCACCCCTTTTGCTTTCTTCTCTCTGGGGTGGTGCAGCAGGAAGGACTGAGAGTGAAATGGGAGGTGGGTGTTCTTTGGGTGGAGGGGAGGTGGGAAGGACTGATCATCTGGGACCTCGGATTGGGTGGTAGGGTGGCACACTGCTACCAGTCCACCTGCACTTGGACTATTTATTGGAGCTGCAAATATGGCAGTAAATGAAAGGAGAACCAACTCTCGTTCTTTTACAGTTTATAGTCTAGTGGGGAAAATGTGGAATAATTGCCGAGAGCTTATGTGTGTCAAAAATAGTGCTAATTATTTTACAAGGACTTTTCATTTATTCCTCTCAACAATCTTATGAAATAGATATACATTTACAGAGGAGAGGGGTGAGTTAAGGTACAGCCATGAAACAGTAACTAGAGGCTGGTGTGGTGGTACACACCTATCATCCCAGCTAGCTACTGGGCAGGTTGAGACAGGAGGATTGCAAGTTTGAAACCAGCCTAGGCAACTTAGTGAGACTCTGCCTTAAAAAAAAAAAATTTTTTTTTAAAGGGTTGAGATGTAACTCAGTGGTAGATTACTGCAGTAGCTCAACCCCCAGTACCACAACACAAACAACAACACAGTAACTAGAAGAACTAGAAAGAAAAAAATCCAGATGAGGTGACACATATGAAAGGGGGAGGATGGGGTGCTCCTTCCTGAGGAAAGCAGTAAAGATTTAATTTGCACAGAAGGCTAAGTAGGACTTGGTGAGGTGAAGTGTTTGGGGTAGTTTGACCAGGAATTGGAGCTCTGGGTGGGGACAGTAGTTGGTGTACTTGAGGAACTGTAAACACTTGAAGGTCAGGAAGTGCAGCCAGGGTCCCTTGGGAGAGCCTCCTTAAAGATTTATTAAGGAAGAAGCTGAAGTCCTTAATGGCTATTAGGTAAGGAAAGGATGGGGCGTGTGGAGGAAGAGAAAGCTAAGGCATTCTACACACCCTTCTGTCTCACATCCAACATCCAATCATTTTAGTAAGACATTTCATTCCATTCATGATTATCTTTCCCACCTGTCCCCTCCTTATCCCCACTGCCACGGACCTAAATCAAGAGTCTATCTTCAGGTAGATACCCCCCCACCCCCACCCCGGTTTTCCTTTCCAGATCATCCTCCAAAGCATCATTCCCTCCCTCCCTTCCTTCCTGTGCTGGGATTGAACCGAGGGTGTCCTGCATGCTAGGCAAACACTTTACCACTTCACTAAATTCCCACCGCTATTTTAGAGTATGCTCTAAATCAGTCAAGTCAGTCCAAATCTTTCTGTCTTGTTGTTGAGTCTATTATAAGATGAAGTCCAATCTCTTCCTGGTATGCTTCCAGTTTATTTTGCCAGAATCTCCTCCTTCTCAGGCCAGTGCTGCCCGGAGAGACATCATACTCATGAATCTCCAAGATCACCTGAAACTGAAGTAGATGTTCCTTCATAGCCCTAAACCTTCATAAACTGTGTGCTTGTGTATTTATTAAATATACACTTGCCTCATTCCTCAGTGGTCACATGATCTTCCCATTGCCAGGAATTTGCCACCCCCTTCTCTCCAGTAAATTTCTATTCACACTTCAAGTTCCAGCTCAGATATCAGTCTCTAGGCTTTTTTAACACTCCTACTCCCCAGATAGGATTAATTGCTTCCTTGTCTGTACTCCTAAGGCACTTTACATGGATCTCTGTCCTAGTACAGTACTTACTTCATTGTATTATGGGTGTCTAAGAAGCATAAGCTACTGCAATCAGTAAATGCTCCTGACCCTGAAAAGTTGCTGGGAGGTTTAAATAGAACAATATATTTACAGTTAATATTTTCTTTCTTTATTCCTTTCCTAATAACCCTAATAACAATCTGCATTATAGTTTACAAGGATAAACTTTGATGCCATACCAACACTACCTTGATGGACCTGAGCAGAAACCTGCCAGATATGGATGGTATTATTATTTCTAGCTTATAACTGGAAGAAGTGAAGTACATAAGAGTTAAAAGTCATACAGTAGGGGCAGAGGTGCAGGTATGTGGTAGCGTGTATGGGAGGTCCTGGGTTCCATCCCTAACACACACACACACACACACACACACAGTAATGTAGCTGGTTACGTGGTATGCTTGCCACACAACAGTGCTCCAGCACTGCTAAAAGAGTCAAGTTGTAGGGCCGGGGATTTAGCTCAGTGGTTCTGGTGCCTGCCTCACAAGTGCAAGGTCCCAAGTTTGATCCTCGGTACCAAAAAAAAAA